GGAAAGGAAAGGAAAGGAAAGGAAAGGAAAGGAAAGGAAAGGAAAGGAAAGGAAAGATTTTTTTGTGAATCCTAGGCCGTGCTCAATATTTTACATGGGGTGGTATAGTCATAAATAAATAGCATATACTATAAGTTATATTCACTGTCTCAGTCCCAAGGGCAGTCATACACCAAAAGGCATCTTCTTCTGAACGTCATTCCAAAATGGATGTGGATCACGTTCTTGCAATTCCCTTTTTCCTGAATGAACTGGTCATGGATGGCAATATTCAGGTCTTCCACCCTTGCTTCAGGGTTCATTGCCAAAATTTGAACTTTTCTGACCTTCCCTTTTCCTATCCCCGGTTAACGATAAGGTTTATGAGCAGGCAATGGGAAGGAGAAGGTGGCATGTGCTGTATTGAGCAAAAGGCATTCCTCTACCTGAAGACATTCTCAGTTTGAAGGGTTGCTTAATTGAAGGGCTGCTTAATTCAATCCCAGCTGAAAGATAAAGAACCTTAAAAAAGAGAACAGGGAGTACAGACGTGGGTTATACACTTCTCCACAGCTGTGAAATTATTGCATTTTTACTGAGATGATGATAATAACATCTAACTATGCATACATACAAATTACTACCTGTAGATGTTATCCAGACTGTGTCCTTTTTTGGTCAAGAGTTTCCTTTTTTGGCAAAGCATACTGGCTATTTAGGGGAGGGTTTGAGTCTGATCACCACAGACTGCAGCAGTAATACTTTTGCTTGAAGGAGTTAACAACTCAATCTATACAGAATCCAGAGTTCTAATAGTTTCCAAGTAATTTCAATAGGATCTGCCTCCCTACCCCTAACATATGCTGTTACATTCATGCGGCCAATTATTCTTTGATAACCTGATTCAAGTCCCAGTTTGAGTTCCTAATGCGGGCTATAGATTATATAATGTTACTTATACAGTTAATGTCCACATTATCATTTTCACATGTGAATGAATCAGGCTGAGGGATCAGTTCTCTCACACAACAAATTCCCTTGCGAAAAAGCCATTTATATTTAAATCACGAGAGATTATAGCCTGAAAAATATTTCATTTCATAATAACAAGAGGTGAAGAACCCCAGTGTGAGTAGTGGGAGTGGGCAGGCTGATATATAAATGTATTTCTCACTTGTAATGTATTTTGGCTTTTCCAGACTCTTCAGATAAAATTAACCTGCTTGGAAGAGGAGCTCAAAAATGATAAGTTACAGGTTTCTTTGTAAGTTTTGGCATAGTTGAAAATACCTTTATATGGTGCACTTTCATACTGGAAAGATGTACTTTCAGTTGCCCAGAGTTCTCGCTTTTTTGTGTCGCATTGCTTACATCCATCAAGTACCAAAGTTTACCTTATGGCAGTCATTTATAGCATGATAACTAGATGAAATCCAACCCAAACGGAATTATTTCATGTCCCTGGAGTTTTAAGGGAAGACTTAATTTCTCAAATAATTCATACTGAAATCAATTAGATTAAAAAGAAATTTCCTTCATGTTAATACTGTGTTTCTTCACTGTTTATATCTGAGTAATGTAGAGGATACTTGAAGTTACATAATCTATTACAAGTGATTAAAACTGTACATTACAAAATAATATATAATTATGGTAAATAATTGTATATTAAAATGTAGGACATAAATATTCTAAATGTAATAATATTATACACACCACACAAACGTTTTTAGATACCCTCTCCAGAAAGATTTCTGAAAAGTATTTGGTAATAATTTGCTGTTTATAATCTTGATTATGTGCCATCAAGTTAGTGTTGATTCTTAGTGATCACATGGATAGATTTTCTCCATGACACTCTCTCCCCAACCTGGTCCTTCAAGTCTTATATCCATGTGGTTTTCCTGGTAAAAATACAGGAGTGGTTTACCGTTCCCTTCTCCCATGCAGTATGAATTGATGCATCTTCATTATCACTAAAGTGATCATCCATTTCCAGCATATTCCTATATCATTGCTGCCCAATATAAGTGCCTGCTTTCTTTAGTTGAGCAGCTGGGATGACCTTCAAAACCTTGGGTACCCTGTTGGGAATACGTATTCTTGGCATACATTCTCGATGTCTTTTGCTCATTCTCCCAAGAACACCACCATCACCCCCCAGCCATGATAAGGCAGCACAGCAGGACTGGGGGGGCGGGGGAGGGATTATTATCTAGCCAGGCCCATTTTTGCCATTCTTAAAGGAACATTATATATTTGTTCTTACAAGAAGGCAGAAATGTATTCTGAGTCCCATTAAAGTTTTGGGACTTTGTTTTAGTTTAAATTCTGACAATTTGTTCTATGCACATTTGAGTTGGATTTTCCTCTTATGGTGTATTTTATTTTGCCTTTCCTTAATGGACATATTTTAACGTAAAGTTCTTCCATATTTTATGATAAACAATGGCTTTACTAAGGCTATGTGTATCACTCAGGACTGATTATGATTTGGCGATTCAAAAAGGGCGTGATTCAACTTGAGTTTGTAGTCTGAGATTTGAGGGCAACCCAACTTGCTTTTGAGCTATTTTGAGATTCAGGAGTCGCTTCAGAACGAGATTCATCCATAGGTTATAATGGGAAATTTCAAAATGCTTGAAGCTGCTTCATTTTTGGTTGAACAGGATGACAATAACAGGGGTGGTAAATCCTTTAGAGTACCTTATACCTCATTTAGAGCAGTGATACAACACAACAGTCTCTAAACTGTCTAGCAATGAACCGATAGAGAAGCTAGCTGGACCAATGCAGCAAGTGTCCTATGCCAATTTACAAAGGCAAGCATTCAGAATTAGTTTCTAAAAATGAGCTCTGAGTTTTTCACTTGCATTAAAGACTCTATTACCCTTGTGGAGTGGTATAGCTTTGCTGCCTCTGATCACTTGGTTAGCAAGCTTTGTCCCTCCTAGAAAAGGCCTCCTTTCACCAGCAGGTCTCAGTTGTGTCATGGATGTAGCTGGAGGAATATTCTCTACGTTCATTAGCTAGCTGGCAGAGGCAGAAGAAGCAGAATGGCACAATGAGATATAGCACCACCGAGACTGGCAAGCCACAGAGGAAGAGGCTGGCACACCACATGTGGCATTGGTAGCTTTGAACACTCCCTCCCACCCACTCCCATTTGTATTTTTAAAGCAGGGACATTTGGGGCCAGTGCCTTAAGTATTAGCCTGGTGCCCATTCACTTCTTGTCAAGAGACTTAAAGCTGTCCCAGTCATGCTGAATTTAAAAATAAGGGTAGTACTGGACAGGAACAAAATATCAGTGTAATGTTCCCTTAGCACAAGCCTTGTCAATCCCAAAGAGCTCTGACATGGAAAGGTTTAATAAAGCATTAAAATGATTGACTTCCCATGTCAATTTCAGAGAACCCACTACACATCCAACTCCCCTCAGCATCTTGGAACCGCAGAAGCGACTTTGTAGATTGACTGAAACAACCCCAGGAGCAGTAAAAAAGCCATCACACCTGCCAAGCATTTACTTATAAATCATCTGATTGAGTCTGCTGCTTCAAAACAAATCCCTGGTTTATTCCGTGAAGATGTTATAATGAGATGATCAAAGCTTCATCAAGCTGAAGCACTCCTTCAAATCTTTGTATAATCCTATTAAGTAACTATACTTTGAACAGAATATTAATAATTTCTACATTTACAATGGTACTGGCCATTGTATTAAAAAAAAAAAACACATCAGCAATGGAGTTTGAGATAGTTTGATATTTCTAACAATGCAACCTGGTACTTGAGTACTAATAACACCACTGCATTCAGTGTGATTGTCACAGTAGAGAATTTACTCCAGTGCCGAAGTGCTGAATTTTTTCAGCAGAGATAAGGAGGAACAAAAGAGCAAAAGGCATAGTATGGAGGCAATTGTTCCACAACTGAAAACAACTGGAGGAGCATCTATGCTGGCTGCAGACTGGGGTAACTGTGAATCAAGCTACTCCTGGAATAATGAAATGGTCTTGGATATAGCATAGGGAGAGAGTGCTTTTAATATTGAAGACCACTTTGGTTACCAACTGAAATTAATCTGAGGACAGATGCACCCATTTCCTGATCTATATTTAAATTCAGATCTTTACTTCTGTCATCAACCAGCGTAAAATAACATTAGAGCTATAAACATATATGATTCCAGTATGAGCAATCTATCCTATAAGCTATGGAAAAATAACTAAAAATTAGAATGACAGAAACAAAACTAGGAAATCCCTATATCACTAAAATCCTTGTATAAATATTACTAATAAAAAGACTAAGTAAACTTTAGTTTGATATACAGTAATGCAATATAAAATAGTGGGATATAAATGTTAATACATAAAACACAATAGCAATAAAAACTAAAAAGCTAAATAACTAGAGATAATCAACAATAATACGTATTGATTTGCACAAGTTCATTCTTATCCTTCCCTCATTTCTCTCCATCCCAATGATCTTGAGCAATTTGCCCCACGTCACCAGTGGCATCCATAGCAGTGACAAGGAGAAATTAGTCAATTTGAATAGATTCACTGGAAGTATAAGGAAATAAATGAAGCTTCTCCGTCACTCCCAATAATCTTGCTACAGATCACCGGTGGGGAAAGCAAGCAGGATTCCCAGTGGACCTGCAGGCTGCAAAAAAATGTAGGAGAACTCTGCATGTGGTCCGGAGATTGCCAACCCCGATACAGACTCCAAGTTGGCTCCGGTTTCCTTCCCCATGGCTATTCTCCCTTTAGGGACCTTCACCTTAGGACCACTGGCCAGAACACTACAGTAACTTCCTACTTGCAAAGCACTTCATTGGTGAAGTAGGAGCCTTTGCAGCAGCAGCAGCAGCAGCAGCAGCAGCAGCAGCAGCAGCAGCAGCAGCAGCA